CTTTACCCCAACTTTTTATTATTTTTGCTGCTCAAAAATTGAATTTGAGGCATTTTTATTTGGAGGGGGATTCGAGAGAGCCAGGCAATTTCTTGCCTTATTCTGCCATCTTCCCAACTAGTCCACTGATTCTTAAATATTCTCTTCCCCAGGTCAGTAGATTTTGCTATACCTTAAATTTTCTTCTATTTTCCCCCTAGTCTTTTAACTTTAATTTTTTTTTGCTATCTAATAAAATTATTAGCTTCTATTTGGTCCACTTTTATTCGCAGGGAGTTTGTTGCTTGGGTAATTTTTTAAAAAAAATCTCGTGCCAAGCTGTTAATTCCCTTTCCAATTCTTTCTTCCACAGCTGATTTCTTAAAAAACCAAACCAAACCAAACCACCAACAATGAAATTCCCTAGAGCTCTCATTTATTAAAAACAAAACAAAACATTTTACACTCTTTAAAAGAACTGCTGCTTCCTCTCTTTCAGGAACTCTAGTTGAATTTGTGTCCAAGCTGCTTTCCTTTGAGGCTTTGCTTATAGATGTTTTGGAGTCATTTTCTTCTTCAGGGGCTGTGCCTCGTCCCATAATAGTGTTTTGTTTTTCTTTTTTTAAACAAAAAGGTCAGCCTACGCTCTGACCTCAGATTTGATGTTAAGGATAGGCTCTGCCCATTTCTGGAGGAAATGCTAGGCTAGTCCTAATGTCAAATCTGAAGGGGTATTGAGTGTTGTGTTCCAAGATCTCAAGGAAAGCTAAGGCTGGGGACTTGGAAGCTTTCAATGTTCTCAAACCGGTCGGATCCAGGGGCAAAGTATGATCACTGCCCTCCTGGACTGAGTTCTGCAAATTCCTTGTTTCAGCTTGGGTCTGCACAACAGGCCAGTGGACTTACCCCATTTAGAATTTCAGTAGACTACATAGGGAGCTACTGATTGTTCTATATCTCCATTCGGTTATTGTATTTGGATATTAATATTGTGAATAACCATTCCTTCTCCCCCCTTCTTGGGATTATCTTGCAGATTTCCTTGGTGTGTACTTGATCTGGTTCAGTGGCTCATTGTGATTTCATTGTCTTAAGTGCTATTTCTTTTCTTTTTTTTTTTTAGGCAGTTGGGGTTAAGTGACTTACCCAGGGTCACACAACTAGTGTCAAGTGTTTGGTCTGAGGCCGCATTTGAACTCGGGCCCTCCTGACTTCATGGCCAGTGCTCTGTCCACTGTGCCACCTAGCTGCCCCCTTAAGTGGTATTTCAATAAGCACTTCAGTTCTCGATGTACTTGCGGACTGACGAGTTAGGGTGCTTCATTTGTCTGATAAAAACAGGTTATCATAGAAACGGTGACATTTGAGTACCTACCTATAAATAGCTTTAAAAAATTTGGTTTTGGTTGTCTGTCATTATAAACCTCAGCTTCCTGGGGGGTTTTCAACTCCTAATAGCCTTACAGGACTGTGCCAGTTTTTTGGGTATTCATCCTCAGTTACTTGTCCTTGCTTTGATTTTGTGTCTCCTAAAAATCCAAGTTGGTCAATGAGCTCTGTGGAGCCATATGTTGTTTTTAGAGTTCTACCACAGTGCCTCGCACATAGCAAGGTTGTAATGCTTTTCTCATTCATTTACTCATAAGGTTTTTTTTTTAACAGTCCTTCCTACAGCTTTTTTTTTTCTCATTAAGAGAATTCTGTCATCAGAATTTCCTATCTCTCTTAAACCAATTTCCTTTGTAGAGGGGCAGCTAGGTGGCACAGTGGATACAGCATTGGCCCTGAAGTCAGGAGAACCCAAGTTCAAATCTGGCCTCAGACCAAACACTTGACCCTTACTAGCTGTGTGACCCTGGGCAATTCATTTAATCCCAATTTCCTTTAAAAAAAATTCCTCTGTAGAATTTTAGAACACTGGACTCTATCTTCCCTTTTTCTGAAAACTCACCCTTCTTAAATTTAAGGTATATATAAAACTATAGTCATTAGCTTCCTTTCCTTCCTTATCATAAATTCCAACATGGTTACTTGCTCTTTCAAGGTCCGTTTCCACTTTTAAAAACCTATTTCTCTTTGCTGGCCAGAATTAGCTCTGGAAGAGTAGTTCCTACTTTCTCCACCTTTTGAAGAATGAAATTATCACTATTAAAGCAAGTCAAGAATGTGTAACATTCTGCTTTTGGCAGAGAGCTTCAGCAGATGTTCAGATTTGAAGTCTCAAATTACTGTATCAGGCTTTACTGCTAGACTTGCGTTTCCAAAACTTTTCCCTTCTGTCCAGGTGGTTTATGGTATAACTTCCACAATATCAATTTTTCTTTCACTGATTATCACCCAAATGCATTCCAGTATGATTTACCAGCTTGGGTTCCTAGATTCCTTTACAAAAAATACATTCATAACATTTAATGCTATTATACTGTTCTGTTGCTCTTTTCTTTTTTGGATATTAGTATACCCTTCTAGAGTTACATTCTAGTCATGACTTTCACTTTCCAAATTTCAGTAAGATCTATGAAATTAAATTTACCTCCTTGTATTAGGATTTCTAGTTTACCATATAATTTATCCGTACTTTGTACATTAACATATTGTCATCAAGAACCATGGGTCTCATTGCTGGCTTCACATATGCAATGAAGGAGGTTTTCTCTCTCTCTTATTCATTCTTAGTTTAAAGCTACCTTGATGGGATTCACAATACCTTGGACCAAAAACATTTCCAAATAATGTTAGGTTTAATCTCATCTCTTGTGAGTAGACTATTCTTCCTATAGTTTAAGCCATGATCAAGGAATTAAAATTCCAGTCTCACATTCTATTTTCTTAGTTAGCTGTGTGTATCCTCAGACCAGACTCTCTTCAGAAGTCCCTACTTTCAAATGGCAATTAAAAACTTAAAAATGTATACTTGATTCCTGTTCTTTCTTCTTGATGGCATCCTTGAACTTGCATAAGTGACTTTGCTTTTGAGGGGTGGGCACTCAGCGGCCCAGAAAATGAACACTGGGACCTCTTTCTTATTTTCCATGGTCTCACAGACAGTATCATAAAATGTATAATGATAGGCCTTGTCTGGCAGAATCTTAATAAAAGTGAATTAGTGCAGTTTGTCTCACATCAATTACCTACAAGGGTCTTTTGACCCTTCTCCAGCACAACGTTCTGTCTTTACTCAGGTAGAATACAGCCTTCCTGCACTTTCTTTTTTACTTCCTTTGGCATCAAAGACTTGTGTGCCATCATGTCACCCAACACCTTCATTACCCTGAGACAGTGACAGTGGAATCCATGGTTCTGGAAACAATTAAGTGATGGTGGAACTCACTTACAGCTTGCAAGAGATCTGGTGGGGGAAAAAGAGACATGGGGGAACCTCTGCTTTGCCTCTGCTGCTCCAATACAGATCCTTGGCAACTGTGATGAAGGCATAACCTGTGCCCCTAAACTCTTCATTTTCCTGTATGAGACTACATAATCTTTAGGAATGCCTTTTAGGTTCATTATTAAAATATAATTTATTCCCACGTGAACTGTCATGAGCGGGTATTGGCCATCGGGGCTGCCACTTAAGAATACTCCTAAATCTGTAACCCATGAAGACTGCAGACTTCTCTACTGTTTAGACAACGAGGACTAGTAACTGCCTTTCCCCCTCCGAGCAGATACTCATCAGGCACAATTACTGGAGAATCTCTCTTCAGATGGCGTCAATCACTCGGGGTACAAGAAACTGCTTCCTCCTAAGAGATGGTCCAGTTGTCCCCTCTATGGAAAGAGGTACCAGTCACCACTGTGACCCTTCTTCTCTTGTATCATATTCTCTCACCTTGAAACTTTTTGACAATCATTGGTATTCCTTTGTGTTTCTTCTTGGAAGTATTTCTTCCATTCTTTCAACAAAGACTGCATTCTTCCTGAAACCTTTAGAGTGGAGATGCTTTCCCCCAGCCTTTTCATCTTCTTTAGGACACAGAACAATTTGTATTTCGTGGAAACACATGGCTACTTGGTACTAGCATAGCCCCAAACTCTGTGCAATGCAAAAATCTTGTCTTCTATGCTGGCTTGAAGCAAGGTCTTCAAGTCCTTTGTCACTTTCGTTGACAGTCTTCAAAGCTCTAATGACAAATATTTTGCCACACCTGTTTCTTGTATTACGAGTGCCTAAGTAAGGCAAAATTTATCATGGTAGGCCCATAATGCGATTTTCATGATAAGAATCTTACTCAGTGTCCCTTCACTGGAAAATAGTACTTTTCTATCAAGACCTAATAGAAACAAGAGCTGCTCCAGACTCTTCTGGGTGAAGTACTCAAGCAGGAATTTCAGATAACTTAGATACTCTCCACTTGATTTTTCTTCCCACTGAAGCTCAAATACCTTTCTGTGGTCACTTCATTACCTTCTAAGCCTGTTCTGTCACCTAACCATTATCTCAATGCTCCTCTTTCAGGTATCTCTGATATTCCCTTTAACTTCTTTCCTCCAACTGGCGCCTGTCATTCCCTAGCCAGAAGAGGGTTGATTTGGGGAAACCCAAATGAGCTCCATTTTGCACTTTTAAACTATATGGTAAATTACATAATCAAGGTGACCAAGGGCTCCAAGTGCTCGCAATTCACTTCTATCTTTGACATTAATCCATCCTTTTCTCTACCCCACTCCATAGTTCTCCCTTTCACATGTGGTTTTCTCCTACATCATTCCAGCTATTTCTGTAGGAGGGGGAATTCTTAAGGTCCTTCTCTTGTAATACTCCTGGCCTCTGGTCTGCTTTTCCTGCCATGCTGAAAAGTAAAAGTCCTAAGAAACAGGGACAAGGAAAGATACAGGGCAGGCGCAGGCAGAATGAACCTGAGCACCCAGGACAATGGGCAACCCAAAGAAGCTTGAGAGAGAAACAGGTTTATCACTGTCTCAAAGAGCAAGGCACAGGCATTGGGGAACGCCCTGCCCCGATCCCAAACTGTCCTTGAGCTGAGGCCCCACACAGAAGGAAAAAGGCCTACCGCAGGGCAGGGAATAGGAGATTTATTTCTGTGCACTTATCACAGCTACAGTGGACCCTTTCTTTCCACAGGAGATCCTTTCTCTGTAGCAGTGAGAAGAGCTTCCAGAATTTAATAGGGGCTCAACTGGGGCCAGCCAGCCAGGAATTGAGGGGATACAGGAAGGACAATGTAAGTAAGTACTAGGGGTGGGGATTATTACATTGGGCATCTATGGGGAAACATGGAAAGGAGCATAAACCATAGAGAAGTTAGAGAGGGAGGATGCTTCCACATTCCAGTCAAAAGCTGGCTTGTTTCAAGTACTACTCCATTTCTTCCCAAGTCCTGAGTGAGCTTTGGTGGGAGCAGAAAGCCAGAATGTTCATATCTGGAGGAAGAGTCATGACTACACCTTGAACCTCTTTAAAAAGGCCCACATGTAGTGGTGCATCTGCTCTGGCTGGGCCTGGGGGATCCAGTGGCCAGCATCAGGCAGGACATAGGACAGCAGGCGGCCTGGCACAAAGTATTTGTTAATACTATCCACAAGTCCACTCTCCAGGTATGGGTCTTTCTCCCCCCATAACAACAATGTTGGCGTTGTCAGCTCCTGACGCTGTAGCGGAAAGTGACTGTAAGGTAAAAAGATGTACAACATTCATTAAGGCCAATCAATCCCTTTTTGTTCTTAAATATGCCTCGGTCCCTTCTTCTTACTCTTTCAAATTTCTTCCTCACTACATTCTCCTTAAAATCACTCCATCATCCTTCCCACAATCAATCTCCACTTTTTCCTAGTTGCCCCCACTCCTCAAGGCATCACCTGAAAATATTGCGGTAGTAGTTGAGGGGGCCAGTGAGGCCTTGGTTCTGGGTGAAGCTGTACAGGAAGGCCTCTAGCTCATCATCTGTAAGGCCATGGATTCCGGTCATAGGATGGGTCATGGTGTCCTTGAGGATCTGTACACATGCATCCCTCTTCATTACAAACGCCCTCCAGACACCTCTGAGAATCAGTCTTCCCATCTCAGTATCCCCTTTCCCTCCCCACTTCCACAACATCATTACTCTCCCTCCCCCACAACTCCCTGCTAGCTTTTGTCCCTTTTCGCTAAGTAAGAAGAAAGGACGGGACCTGAAAATCAGAGATAGAAAGCAGCTTCTCAGGTAACCAAGGTAGCTGAAACAGGAATACATAACCGGAGCGCAAGAGCTGGCTGGGATGGTGCAGAGCATACTCTGGGAAGGGAAAGGAGAAAAAGTAAGAGAACCACCCATACCAAACCCCTTGGAGAGGGGGGAAACACCTCAGGCTCAGAACTTAGCACCCACTCCCTACCTGTAAGCCTGGCCAATCCACTCTCCCTCTGAATGTCCTCCTATCTTAGCACCTACCTTGGTAAACAAACATAGGGGCGGCGCTCACCACCACTAGCCGCTCTACCAAACTCGGGTAGTAGATGGCAAAATTCCAGGCCAAGATTCCACCCCAGTCATGGGCCACCAGGACACATTTGGAGTAACCTGTGAATGAATGGTGTAGGGAATTGGGGTGTGGATAGGGTGGGGTAGGACAGGTGTAAAATTAGGAGACTGAGGTGGAAGACATAATAGAAATGGCACTAGAGTTGGGAAGGGCAAAGAAATCCAGTGATTTAGCCCTCCCTAACAATTAGTAGAAACTCTTACTATAAGAACTCTGACAAGTAATAGAGCCTCAGCTATAAAGAGGGTGAAGTAAATCAACAACTCTATAACCCTCCATTACTACCAAGCCAAGGTGGGAGAAGCTACCATGTTGGAAGGATTAAAGAATAAACAAAGCCTCAGGCCTTCATATGAATCAAGTATCTAGACATCCTAGATGAAAACTTCTAATTGCACCATTCATTTTCTGCTATCTTAGGAAGTAGCAAAGAAATTAATTTGAAATGAGTTCAACCCAGAACCTTGGGGTTCTGATTGTCAATTCTTTACTATTCCAGGTAACCATTCCAATCTCTCTTCTTCCATGGGGTCTAAAAGTATACATAATAGTATCATGCTTGCAGGCAACAGTTTCAATCAAATGGTACTTCCTTCTCCTTGTTACCTTAATCCCTGTGGTTCTAAGTGATTTTCCTAAAGTGCTGTTCCCATACTCTTGAGGACAGCTAGCTGGTGTAGTGGACACAGAACTGGACCTGGAGTCAGGAAGACCTGAATTCAAATCCAGCCTCAAGACACTAATTGTGGGACCCTGGGCAAGTCACTCAATCCTCTTTGCCTGAGTTTTCTCATCTGTAAAATGAGCTGGAGAAGGAAATGACAAACCACTCCAGTATCTTTGCCAAGAAAATCCCAAATGGGGTCATGAAGAGTCAGACATGCCTGACCAACAACAAGAACAACAACCCCCATCCACCATCAAGTCCAATGGCTCCCTATTACTTCTAGGATCAAATGCAAAATCTTCTGCTTGGCGTTCAAAGACTTTCATAACCTAGCTGCTGCACCCCCCCCAATTTTCCAGTCTTCTTATACTTTATAACCTCTACGTACTCTTTGACACAGTGACACTTGCCACCTTGCTCTTCCTCCAACAAGCCATTCCAGGCCCTAATTCCAGGCACTTTCACTGTTGTCCCCCATGCCTAGAATGCTCTCTCTCTTCATCTCCACCTCTTGGCTTTCCTTAAATCTCAACTAAAATTCCACTTTCCACAGGAAGCCCTTCCCAACCCCTTTTGGGGTTGAGGTTGTTGATAGTGCCTTCTATCTGTCGATTATTTCTTACTTATCCTGTATAGAGCTTGTTTGTAAATGCTGTTTGTTGTCCTTACTGGTAGATTGTAAGCTTGAGGACAGGGACTATTTTTTGCTTTTCTTTGCATCCCCAGAGGGGAAACTACATTCTCTGCCACCATTCCCTGCCCTCTCATCTCTCCCCTGGCTCTGCCCTGTTTCACTAGCATTGTGCCTTCTGGCAGTTCCTCTCTATCATTAACAAGCTATTTATCTAAGAGCTCTTCTTCTCATACTCCTTTATCTTCTTGTACTTATAGAAACCTGGCTTTACTGCCATCCTGGGCATGCCCTTTAGTCCTGGGATTACCTTCTTTCATGGTCCCTGACACTGGCTCAGGAAGAAGGCTAGGCATACTCCTTATCCCTCTCCAACCTCATCTGCCAAAGTCTCTGCTACCATCACTTAGCAACTTCTCTTCTTTTTAGGCCCACTCCTTCCATCTACGTTCCCCTATCTGAACTTTGGTAGCAGTCATCTACAAGTAGCACCTAGATCAATCTCCCTATTTTCTCAACGAGTTCAGTGGCTCAGTCTCCCTCTGCCACTTACCCTCCCTGTCAGGAAACTTCAATATACATGGCCTCAAACACCATGGCCTCCCAAATAATCAATCCCCTATTCCCATGATTTGGTCCAGAACTCTGAATTTCCTCTCTATAACCATGACTTTCTATTTTTCCAACTTTACCTTACTCCTTCTGAAATTTAAACCTATTCTTCATTCCCACCGCGACCTCCAGTCGCTCTAACCCTCTGTTCTCTCAGTGTCTCACCACCTTTTCTTTTCTTTTTTTAAATTCCTGACCCTGCAGTTAATAAGTTCAACTACACACTCCACTTTACTTCTCCTTGCTAAGGTGAACCCCTCTTTTTGTGCACTTGATCCCATCCCCTCCCATCTCCCTCGGGAGCTTACTCTTTCATTCATGCACCCTTCTCCAATTGTCTATCTACTACCTTCTATGATGCTTATGTCTTCTTAAGCATTTACCATCCCATATCTCTGTCCTTCTTATAATCAGGCTTCTAGAAAAAGCCACTCACACTTGTTGCCATCACTTCCTCTTTTCTTATTCACTTCTCACCCCCATACAGGGGGCTAATGCCTTCACCAACTGAAACTGCTCTGAGGTTACCAATGATTTCATAAATAATGAAATACAATAGGCCCTTTCCTAGTTCTTATCCTTCTGGTTCTCTCAGCAGTGCCTCAAACTGCTAACAGCAGTTGGTCCTGGACACATCCTAGGTTTTTGTGATAACCGCTTTCTCCCGAATCTCTTCTACCTCTCTACTGGCTCTCTCAGTCTCCTTAGCTTGACTATAATCAAACTTCTAACTGACTATGGCTATCTTAGGTCCTCTTCTCTTCCATCACTTAGCAATCTCCTCAGCTCTCATGATCACTTCCAAGCAGACTCCCAAATTTACATATCCAGTTCTTTTCTGAGGTCCAGTACCCACGTTATTAACCACCTACCTGTTCAGGACATCTCCACCTGGATAACTCACAGACATCTTAAATTCAACATGAAACTCCTCATCTTTCTCCCAAAACTTACTCCTCCCTAACTAACTTCCCTGTTTCTGCTGGGAGCATCGGCATCCTTCCAGTCATTCAGGTATATGACTTCAGTCATACTCAACTCTCTCCCTCCCCTCATCCAATTACCTGCCAAGTCTTCTGATTTAATATTCACAACATAAGTCATGTCTACTCCCTTTTGTCCACGCATGCAGTCACCACCCTAGTTTAGGTCCTCATCCTCTTTTGCCTGGAATTGTTTCAACAGACTTCTAAATGAATTTATGAATTCAAATCTGGTTCTTCAATTCATCTTCTGCATAGCTGTTAAAACCTTTCTAAAGCACAAGTCTACTCAAGATTTTAAGCTCAAGCTTAAAAAAAAGGCTCCCTCTTAGTTCTAGCATAAAAGCTTTTAGCTTGGTATTTAAAATCCTTTATGATAAGAAAAGGCATATTCATATTGTCCTTCACAACACATTTTAAGTTACAGCTAAACTGGCCTGCCTCACATTCCCTAGAATTCAGCATCCCATTAGCCACCTCCAAGCTTTCTCAATATTCCCTAGGCCAGAGAGGCACTCTCTAACGTCTGTCTTTGAATCTCCAGCATCAGTTACGGCTCAGCTCACGTGCCAACTCTCCACTCTCATATTTCATATATGTACATGTCTATATGTAAATATATATACAAAACCATCTATTGTCTATATGCACGTGTCTATATGTAAATATATGCATAAAACCACGTTTATAAATTGTATCACCAAAGCAGAATGAAAGCTCCTTTCAGGCAGTGGCTGTTTTTCATTTTATCTTTGTATCCCAAGAACCTAGAATGGTATCTGGCACTACAGAATAAGCACTATATAAATTCGAGTTATGATGATGATGATGATGATGTAGCGGATTGCTCAGGAACTGTTCGCAGGATTGCAGACTGAATTTAGAGTCAGAAGACTCAAGTCTGAATCTAGCTCTGATGACTACTAGCTATGTGGTTGAAGTCTTTTAGCACCTTCATCTGTTTTCCTCATTTGTAAAATGAAGGGCATGGACTAGAATTTAGGGGTGGAGAACCTTTTGCCTTCAGGCCTACTCTAGGTCCTCGAGTCCAAAAGTTTGGATTCAGTCAAAAGACCACACTTGAGGACTTAGAGGGCCATATATGGCCTGGAGGCTGTAGGTCCCCCACCCCTGGTGATGATCTCTAACGTTTGTTCCAACTTTAAATCTGATCATTTATGAGGAAGTTTAAGAAAAATGCTGAAGGTTCGGGAATGATAAGAGTATTGAAAAGGTACCAGATTTCAGGGGAACTCCAGGCTCATTTCTCTTAGGTTCTAGTGGCCCTTCTGAAACTTCATCAAAGGGGTAACAATGAAGAGCTTGATTTAGAACTGAGACTATGGGCCTGAGCTAGAGACATGTCACATCCAGTGCGTCATAAGGAGGGCAGCAGTGCAGGATCGGAGAGGGGGGTAAAAAGGCCAATCCATTCCTGCGCTTCTTCAGGCACCCACCCCCATGCTTTGCCTAGACTTAAGGTACCTAGGGCCTCAATAGCATCTTTGATGTCTGTTGTCAGGGCATCAATGGTGTAGCTGTTAAGGTTGGTAGGTGAATCTGAGCTCCCGTAGCCCCTCAAGTCCAGTGCTACCACATGGAAATCATGGTAGAACTCCATAAGCTGGTATCGCCAGGAAATCCTGTGGGGCCAGTAAAAGGTGATGGAGGTGATGGTTGAGTCACCTCCCTCTCTACCCCTCCCCCCAACCCTTCCAGTGGGACTGGCTCAACTAGAGCAAGAAAGGTGGTTTCCATGGAGGGCTCCACCTGATCCTAGGGGCTATGTCAGACACAGAAATGTCTTGAGGAAAGGGGGTGGGGAGAGGGCGGCTGCTGCTCTAGGCCCTCCCTACTCTGCCACTTACCAGATCTGAGGGAAGCCATGGAGGAGCAGCATCAGTGGCCCTTCACCCCTCGAGACGTAATGCAGACGCAAGCCAGAGGTCTGGGAGGAAAGAGGCTGGAGTCAGGGTCCCTCCCTCCTGGACTTTGTTCAGCTTCTTCCACAACCCCAGTGGAGGACCCAGGAAGGCCAGGGTGGCAGTTAGATGTCACAGTCTCTAAGATGGCACGGTTGCCCCAGATGATCTCTGAGGTCCCACTGGGCATTAAATGTTAGATCTGCAGGGTGTGGAACGGGACCCATATTTCAAGGGGAATTCCAGATTTCCTGGGGGGGGCGGGGGAAGGGAGAGGCTGGCAGGAGGCTCCCTCTCGCTCTCTAGAAGCTGCTCCTCCCTCCAGCACTTGCAACCCCTGCTCCTGGCCTTTGGGCTCCCTGCCTTGCTGAGCTCTTCTTCCTTCAGCTGGTCAGAAAGGACCGAGCCGGCCAGGTAGGCAAGGGCCAGGCCGGGCCACCACTCCCTCCCCACCTCCAGGAGGCCAAGCTCACCTTGAGGTGAAGGAAGTGGTGCTGTCCGAAGCAGGGGTCTTGAAGGCACGACGGGGCCTTGCGTCGGGGCTGACCGCAGCAGCCTCGCCTCGGGTGCCGCAGCACGTGGCCCAGGGCCTTTAGTAAATACACGAGGGCAGCCAAGCACGCGCCCGCGTACACCAGGAGCCACATGAAGAAGCGAATCAGCCTCAGCGTAGCCCGCGAGGGCGCCAGCAGCGCCGAAACCAGGAAATCGGACATGGCGGCCTCCGGGCCGGGGGCTTCTTCGGCCAAAGGAAACTGTGGTTCGCTGGGCTCGGGGGGCGGAGCGGGGCTGGGCAACGAGAGCCCGGAAGCGCTGCTCAGCTGTTCGGGCGCCTGCTCAAGGGAGGACTCGGGAGACTCCAGCGCGCAAGCTGAGTTTGGCTTCAGCCTCTGGAGCTGCGGAAGGAGCGAAGGAGTAAGAGCTCCAGCTAGAGCCCGAGGGCGGGGCCTCCGAGGCCCGGACAGCCCCCAGTCGCTACCAAACCCCACCCTCTTCCCCAGGCTTTTCTGGCGGGCGGGGCCATCAGCTTCCGCTCCCCCCAGGGTTCCCAGCCCCGCCCTTCTCCTAGCCTTTCTTAGCTCTGATTGGGTAGTGGAGGGCCTGAAAGGTCACATCGAAGCAATGAAAATGGCTAGGATCCGGGCTCCCGAGCCTGGGCTCCAGCAGCCAATCAAACCCCCTCCGTAATTCCGGAAGGAGAAATCTCAGGAGATGCGGAGTCCCCCAGGAAACCCCCAAGGTGGCCAAGCGACGGGCGCACCGCCACGATCCCAAATGCCCGGGAGCCATGTCTCCCTTTGCACCTTCCCAGGAGGGATAGCTTTCTAGGAGGGAGCAGGGCCACGCAGCGGGTACTGATGACAAAACAATCGATACAAATTTGATTTAAAACCAAAGGGAGATGACCGCCCGCGCTGTCCCCTGTCACAGGAATCCAGAGCCCAGGTGAAGTCCTCGTCCTCCTCCCTCCTGGCTTCTGCTCTTCCACAGCCTCTCCGAGCCCCTCAAACACGGTTCTCTTCGTCCCCCCAAAAAAAAGCCGCCTCAAGGGTCACTTGATATTCAGTACAAATGTTTATTTTGCAATGAGAACTGCACAAAAAACCTTTAGTATATAAGTGAAAATTCTATTAATTCTCTTCTACAAATGTCTAAAGTGTTTAATACAAGCCTCAAATTCACTGACATAATTATTGGCCAAGCGATCCATCCGTGCATCAAGTACAGTGGGAGATTGTACACGTCTCTCTCTCTCACACTCCTGTACATGACTCACAAGCGGGAAGAACCAGAAGTACATCTTGGGGACTAGATTCCTAGAGGAAGGAGGCGGAAGGGAATTCGTAGTATGGGCAGGGTAGGGTGAGGAGAAAAAATTTAAGTAGTGGCTCCACCCTAATTTCAACCCAATTATAAGCACACAAACGAGTCAAACAGGGAATAAACTTTCTGGATAGCAATACCTTTGGCAGAACACACAATCATTACTCCAGCACTGTCTGGCCTAGGAAATGCTCCAACAAAACATAAGAAAAAATGAGAGGAAAATAAGAGATAAGGAAAAAAAAATAAATCAAAGAGCAAAGAAACAGGTCATTTGAACGTGGGAACCAACAGGACCTTAAATGCCTTCAAAATCACAATCCCTGGAGAGAGATATGCACCCTGGGCTCAGGGATGATCATGGCCTGCTAACTAGCTAGAAGCAATTACCCCCAGGCTTCAGCCTGTAGAATTTGGCAAATCCTGAATTCGAGAGAAAAGAGTTTAAAGGTAGGGTCATTTTTATTTTGGCTGTTAAAAAATAAAACAGGGAAGACTAAATAGCACTACTAATACATTTGTTTCTTTGCATCCATATAAATTATAATATTTGTATTTTACATCCTTGGGCCACTCTCAGTGGGAGTCCCAGCTGGGTGTGTATGCCTATGTGTGTAAGCCCCTAAATGGGTGGGGTAGGGATGTGGTGGCTTTTATATACAATCCCAAGAAGGGAAAGGGAGAAGACCCGGTGTGCAGAGTGTGCAGTGTGTGTGCGTGCATGCGTGTATGTGTGTGTTGTATCTCAGTCTTTCAGGTGATGTACATTTAAGAGTACCTGGTAAACCCTGAGCTTAAAATTAAAGGAAGGGGGGTAGGGGTTGAGGAAAAGGGAAGGAGAAATGTCCAAAGTGCTTTCACAAAAGGGAATAGGAGAGAGAGAAAGAGAAGAAATACTGTCTAAAGGTCAGGCCTCCATGAAGCTTCATGGGGGTTGGGGGGAGAAAGAACCCACTCCCTACAGCTTTGCCTGGGGATAGCAGGGCCTTTGCTTCTACTTTCTTTGAGGTCCAGAGCCAAGCTGACCTGCAGCTAACCCTCTGGTTAACACTTTGTGGCTTGAGCACCCTAGAACAGTATGGGGAGTAGTGCTGCCTCATGCAGTGGGGGAAGAAAGCTGCTCCCCACACTACCCCAGAAATGGTGTCAGCTTCAAAAGGAAACTTTTCTGCCTAGTATCCCACTTGTTCCTGTTGCTTTGGCTGGATCTGAGAGCCATGGCCACCCAACCGTATTCTTCTCTATGTTTAGGTGGGCTCTGGGTACTTTGATCCCTTTTGCCCCATCCCAGATCACTTCTGCCTGGGCTTCTGATACAGTGTTGACTACCTGGGAGGCAGTGGCTTGGAAGGCCATCCCAGCATTCAAGGAAGGCAGGACTGGTGGAAGGTTGGAGGCATCAGTTGAAAGAGCAAAGGACCTGGCTGACTGAAGTGTTTCTCTCACCTGCATGGCCATTACCCTAGTGTTCCAGGCCCAGGTCTATCACAAGGAGAGAATTCAAAAGAAATATCAGTAAGACGCCAGCTTTTAAAAAAAAAGAGATGCGTTTATTCCATGATCAGTACAGACCAAATGCATATTCACCGTATTAAAGTCAAACCAGTTAATTACTCCAGAGTTTGGCCAACACTGAGGCACCAGTATTGTACTGTATAGTGGGTACTCATGGCACGTAACCTTGTGAACAGTTCAAATTATAAAATTAAAAAAAAGAAAGAGTAAAGAGAAAAACACGCTGGGTCATGGGTGAGGATTAAGGGTAGGGGCGGGACCACTGATGGTGGAGGGGGGGTGCCCACCATCTCTGCTGTGCCACGCAGCCCAGCCCTGGGTCCACTCCCTTCCTGGTATAAAACAACTTGAAACAGATAATGACATTAAAAAAAAAACAACAGAAAAAAACAAAAACACACACCAAAAAAAATTTTTTTTTAAAAAAAGAGAAAGAGAGAGATGCAGCTTTCTGGTTTTACAATTAAAAAATATAGACTAATAAAGTTTGAAATTGAGTAAAATATAAGCAGTTTTTTTGTGTTTTGTATTTTGTTTGTTTTTTTGTGTTTGTTTTTTTTACACCAAGTTTGGTGGAGTCACCAACAAACCTCAAACAAATATATGCCAACTATATTCACTATACAATACAGCCACGGTCACACACTACCCACAGTGCGGCACCCCCTCCCCCCACCCCCATTGCCACCACTCAAAGGAGAGACGATAACACCCATTCCAAGTTAAGCAGTGCCTTTGTGTCTGAAGGAAAATTAAACAATAAAATTTAAAAAGAACAGAAAGGAAGGAAGGCAGAAAGAAAAAAAAAACAAAGGCGGAAAGGAACTGACTTTGGTTGGTAGTCTCGCTCCCAGGCGAGGCCTCCACACACGCGTGCTATGACGACCACCTCACTCCAAATGGCCATGGACACTCACACACCTCCACTGGACTATTCCCTTTTTCACAAGCGAACACTTACAGAGAACGGCTCTCAGTTAAAGGCTCAAAGGGGATGAGGGCAGGGTGGATTCTGTTCAAGGCAAAGCCAGTGACTAGGGACTTTAGGCAGCTGGGGGCTGGTCCCAACTGTCATTCTGCCTCCCCCCGCCCCCCCCCTGCAATCCCAACAACACCGGTGGGCTCCTGTTCTCCATGGGCTACTACCTCTGCAACCCCTGGTCTTACAATGTGGGGTAGAGATAGTGGTAAATGATACCAGGGAGGGAGAGAGGCCCCTCATGGGGCTCCTCTCATGGTTAGAAAACTGGTAAAGAATGTGACATCCTGGATATACTGTGAATACATCTGGCATAGAGGAGGACCTCATTCATGCCTAAGAACCACCTGGTCCAGCGCTTGCTTGAGGTTGGGTCTGACTTCAGTGTGTGCAAGGGGTGGGGAAGTCCAACGATAAGGCAGACTCTGCTGATCCTTGGCTGACAGACCCACGACGGGTGGAACATGCACAAGGGCTGGGCCCAAGGGACACCCCCTCCCAGCCGCCAGTAACACTAGGCAGAGTCAGTTTGCCAGAAAATCAGAGTCAGAAGAAACCCAGGCGCTATCAGAAAAGATTCTCTTCAAATATTGCCAAAAGATCACTCTGAAAATTCATGTCAATGGTAGCTGCCATCTAGAGAGAGAGAGGAGAAAAGGAGAATTAGAAGCCATGTTCCAGCAGCTAGCCACTTCCCTTCCTGTACCCAAGCTGCTCCCTTAGCCAGGCTGGCACCTCACACCTTTGCTCAACCCAGAGACTTCATGGAAAGCTCCCAGACTCTAAACTTTGCTCTTTCAGGGTATTATCTAGCACAAACCCTGCTGCCTCTGACAAACGTCTTTCCCTCGTCCCACACTGATCTCTCTCTCTCTCCTACCCAAGGCTCTCAAGTAATCAGCTCAATTATGAGCACACACAGAGAGATTTAAAAACACACCGGTCAACAGCTCTCATTTTTAGGCATTGCTAATTTGTGAAGACAGACAGCCTAGTAACCAGAATACAATATTATCTTTTCTCTAGAATGTATTCCAACTCACCGCCTCCCTGCGCCTTCGCTCTTGTTCCCGTTTCCTGGCCAACTCCCTCTGTTGATCCAGCATGGACTGGGAGGCCTGGGGCTGAGAGCTTTGTGCTTGAGGAGCTGAGGAGGCTGCAGCCACGGGTGGCTGCTGCTGCTCTGATCGCTGTTGCTGTTGCTCCTGACGCCTCCGAACCTCTTCATGAGCCCGCCGAGCCTGCTCCAGGGCATCCTCCTCCTCCCTGCTCCTGCTAGTAACAAAGTACCCTAATGAGATGGAGGGAGGACTTCTTTGGAAACCCATTCTCCCTCTCAGACAAGAATGGAAGATCTTCAGACCCTCACCCAAACCTCCAATTTTCATTCCTGAGTTAAAATCTGATCTCAGACACTTACTAGCTGTGTGACTTTGGTGACTAAGTCACTTAACTTTTGATTGCCTCAGTTTCCTCAACTGTAAAAAGCACCTAACTCACAGAATTGTTGTAAAGATCAAATGAGATATTTGTAAAGCACTTAACACAGTGCCTGGAATACAAGTACTATATAAATGCTGTTATCCTTTTTCTTCCCTCTCTTCACCTCATCCTCTCCTGTTCCCGTCTTAGCCGCTCTTTTTCTTTCTCAGCATGCTC